AACTGTTCGACTTGTGCAGGAGTCAAGCTCAGAGCAGGCCGCTTTGACGTTCCGTCGCCCTTGACCGCCCGATGGACGCGATCCTTCTGGATTCCATCCAACTTCAGCTGAAAGTAGTGCTACGGTTGATACAATCACATGAGAAGAAAGCACTCGCGTGAAAGCGGTTGTTTCCGTACTACTAGTAGTCTTCTTACCTCGAGCATTTTCACCACATCGTCTGCCTGCATGTATCCCAGGATCAGCTTCTTGTCAATGCGGCCTGAGAAAGCAAGGGATAGATAAAGAACGTTGGTTGTTCATTTGGATTACCGGAAACCATCACAATTCAATGGAGTGCTTACCTGGCCTGATTTCCAAATCTCTCTCTTTTACTAGCATACCGTCTAGTAGACTATACTATATAGCATCATTGCGCGAGCCCTGATACCGTGGAATAGTGAAGTCCTCTGCGTCATGGTCGGCTGATTTCAACCGAGAAATCGAAAGGAGCTGATAAGAGATTTGACTGACTGTATGTATAGCTGTGCTGGCCATTGCCATTGCTGCTGCTGTTGCTCATTCTACATATATGGATACAAGTACTAATACATGTACATGTAGACTATCATCCCTGCACTGCTAGGATCCAGTGTTGTGGTTGGACTTGGATTTTTGAAAGGATCGGCGCTGTGGCGTTTTTGATACGATAAGGAAAAGGATAAAATTTAGAAGGAGAAAGGGTTATGGGAGTGTTTTGCGCAAATTAATTCCGTTAGTTTCTGCGCGCGGCCTTGTTCCTTCGACACAACCTTCGCACAACTTCTTCGACAATTGCATGACGATGACATCTTTTTCAGTGATGTTTACCGTAGTAGTTCGGAGTTCGTTTGAACCTTGAGAAGCTGTGGGGTCATCTTCCGAGGCTGATCTCAGAGCTTCGCTGAACGTTGTCCGCTGGAAGGTTCTGTCTGCGTGGTCAGTGGAGATGGTTGAGGTGTCCTCGTGCAAGGTACGGTCGGTTCTTCTGTTTGGTTGGGTCCTTTTCGCGGCTTCTTTCTTCGAGTGACAGTCCAAGAGCAACAAACACGCGGAAAACTGGGCAATCTTTCGAGAGACCCTGGTGGAACGTTGTGGCGTGGTTCCTTTTTGCGGTGGCTCTTCCTTTGCCTCGGTTGGTCGGTTGTCAGGCTACGAGGTCGTTGTCTTGGCCGTGGTCAGTTCGTCCTCGTGAAGGCTTCTGTTTGGCGAGTGACCGTTGTTCTACCACCTTCTTCCAGTTCAAGTCTTTCCTTCCTCCCTTCAAGTCAAGTCCAAGTCCAAGAGCAAGAGCAAGAGCACCACGTTTGTCGAGCGCTGCTTCTTCAGATCGTTTCAAGTCGCCTTGCTTGAACTGCTTTACGCCCAAGTCTTCTGCTTTGTTCCTTCAGTCGAGCTCAAGAGCAACCCTACCAATCCTCTTCTTTGTTGCCCGGCTCTGCCTCTCCTGTGCGCCCTCAAGTCATTGACGCGAAGAAGTAATTTCGCACTCGGAGCAAATTTGTACTGGGGAAGCAATCGGATCAGCCCGTAGCTAGAGTGACAGTCAAGCACGCTGGTCGGTGATTCCTCTTCTTGCTCGGTCTGACCCTGAGCACTTTTCGTTGGTTCAAACCTGGACTCCGAGCGACTCGTCGCTCCTCTCCGTTAGCTAGTTAAAAAACTACTTCCCACTTTGTTGCGTTCGCAGTCGGGTCCTCACCGAACTACTTAGGCTTTGGCTGAGCCCAACCTTGGCTTTGTCATTTTCTCAACCCCCTGCTTGCCTAGCAAGCTCTGGTACTTCGATTATTGGAGAACACTTCAACATCCACAGCACTTCCAACAAGCCGGTTCCTCAAAAGCACCGTACCTCTTACCCAGCAGTTGACTAAGCCCCGGTTCCCTTCCCGCAGAAGTTCAGCTGAGATTCAGTCCTGGTTACTTTCGTCTGAGACAAACGACGCGCTGTTTTGTCTTTCTTCTGCATGCCTTCGCTGCTCAACTCCTTCGGAAAACCTAGACTACACTAGATGTGCTGTGTTGGAGTCTGGATTTCTCCGAGTGTTACACTGTTTGATGTTGGTCTTGGTCTTGGACTTGGACTGGAAGCACCTCCTTCGCTGGCTAGGGACGTTCTGAAGAGTTTGAGTTGGTTGTGTTGCTTTTAAAAAGCACGTCGACACGAGTTTTGCCCTGCTACACTATTAATGTCCCTTTGGCAGTTCCATCTTTCGCCGTTTATTCGTCCTTGGCATGGAGGTTCCTCCTGAATCTCGGCCTCTGCTCGCTCTCGGACACTCGGTTGTTCGTTGGTTCGTCGTCGAAGAAGGGATTGTAATGCTGTTGCTGGATAACTGCCGTACCGGTACGGAACGATAGATCCCTAATGTACTTCTGTTGCTTTACCCTCCAGTATTTTTCCTTCGCTTACGTCGGCACATTCGAGCTTCTCAATCGATAGTTGCCTCGTTTCATCGTGACGTCTCGTTCTTTCACTTGCTGATACAGGTCGTTCAAAATGTCAGCTCTGTCTTTGTCCTAGCTAAAAATGGTCACCTTTTGTGTGAGGATTTTTCTGGAAAGTTTATGTTAGTGTTTCTACTACATGTACATTGTTTCAGTGTTGTTGTGTTATTTCCTGACTGGACCTGTTGTGTAATGTAGTCTCCATGGGTGATGCTATTGGTCAGACCCGGGCTTTCCATTCCAAATAGATGAATCAGTCCTGGCACTCCATGTTGTTCTGGTCCTGCAATGTAAAAGTCATGAAAGGGCGCTGCGCTCCATGACTATATCGAGTGAGGGATGATGTAGTTTGGGTCGAATTCCGGCATAATCTGGAATGAGCGAATTGTCTGGGAGATCCGGCCAGTATTTGCGGATTTGTTCATAGAACCCTTGGGCTCGTTGTGATGTGCATCAAGTCAATGCCGTCCGGTTCTGTTGTGGTTTGACATCGATCCATTCAACATCGGGTCCAAACTTGACAGATTGACCACTCCAATCCATGGTTGCATGCACTCCCAACCCCCCTGGTTCTGGAATAGGATATACCAAGTGTGTAAAGGGATTCTTGCTACTGTTACAGCCTTCCAACTGAAAGTAATTGCCCTTGGCAAAGTATTGTCTTGGAATGCAGCAGTTGTGATTGTTGTAGTGGTGGATGGATTGAGCCACCTGGTGGGCCCATAATCCCGCCAATTCACGACGGTCCTACAAAGCAAACATGTATCGTCATCACCCATGGGCAACAGGATTCCATCGGTACTATTAATACCAAGTACCAGTACCAGTACATACCATACCAGTACCAGTACTACATGCAGTAGTGGTGAAGTCCGTGTTGAGTTTTGAATGCAACGCCAATGTAGCTCCATGATCCTCTGCATCGGCCAGGAGACTGAGCATGAACGAGTGTGAATTGATGACCCCCGTACTGGGAGACCAGAGAGCCCCCACAGCTTGAATATTTGGCTCTAAGACTTGTACATCTTCCTTGGTGGTCAATATCCGAGTGTCCAGGACGCCATTCTGGACCGCCTTTTGTTGCAGGTCGAGTATTTTTGTTTCCAGTTGCTCCTTTTGGGTTGCCACAATCAATTTGCCACACTTCTGATAGGGAATACTTCTTGATTGACAGTATTCATAGAGCGTAGTTTCCCCCACACAAAAGCGAGCCTGAGAGATGCTTGTGGATATAGAGTCCAGATGAATCACTTCGAGTTTCGAGATGATGTCTCTGATCTTGACCATATAACATGACATGCAATAAGTAAGAGGTGATGTGAATGTTACATAAAATGAGACAATCACAATCATAACAAGGTACAGTGGTATAAATAGAACCCACCAGAGCCAATAGTCCCCGCTCGATCCAGAATAATCACTTCCTTGCCTGCCATGGCCAAGCTTCTGCAAGGCCAATCCAATGACACCTGCCCCAATCACTGCTGCCTCCACTTGGAATGCCGCACTCGGGACAGCCGCCATGGTCGACCAATTATTGTTACATATATATTATTATGGCCTTGGAACTTGGGAGGGTTCCTCGGTCTGTTGGAGAAGCGATACTATCCCTGTCCTTAAAAGCTTTTCTTCTCCACGCCCTGCCATGCGCGCAGTGAGGATTTATTTGTGCCAGCGCCAGCCCATTCCCCGTTGTTCGACTTTAGGGGGTTAGGCAGCAGCGCGGGAGGGAAAAAGAAAAAAGAAGAAGAAAGGGAGAGGGTTATACGTTGGATTCCCAATTCCTGATTCGCGAGCCTGGAACTCCAACCAATCGTGCCAACGGACACCAAGGAATCAAAAGTACTTATGGCAATGAGGGGAAACCGCAATGACTGGTCATCTCCCCTCTCTTTATAACGATGGATCATGTCGGAAGAACAACGAATATGTCAGTAAATACGTCAGAGGAACCACTGATTTGAATTGTTCAACGGATACCAACTGGCGGTTTCCCTGATCCTTCGCTCGCACCAGACCTTCCCATTTTTTCCAGTTCATTCAAATCGTTGTGTACACTGTATTTGCTCCGATCCATCTGGTGTTGTTGTTGTCGTTGTCGTTGTCGTTGTCGTTGTCGATAAGGTAAGAGAATGGTCCACAATGAGGAATCAATTGGTGTTGCCTGCTACTGCTATTACTGTTATCTAACATTGTTTCTCCGCTCCTCCAATATCGATCGATCGATCCACTCCTACAACTTCGCTCGCTCCTACCATTTCGCTCGAAGCTTTGTTTGACAATGAGGATTGCCAGTACTTCTTCCTTCTCTAACTGGCTGCTACGTGTTTGTCATGCATACCCATTCAATGAGTTGAGGGTCACAAGGAACGGATTCACCTGCAAGTATATGATTTTGGAAGAGCATGATGGCAGTATTACCAAGTACACCTGTCTGCCCACAACAACATTGGATTTGCCGATTCTTGAGGAGATGTTAATGCAAGGAGCATGCAAGCCTCTTCCTCCTGACATGACAAGCATCATGGATTACATGTTTGAATGGGGACTTCAGAAGAGCCCAAAATGGCACAGTGCTGTTCTTGCTACCCTTTATGAAATGTTGGAGGGGCCATCTCCCTGTGAAAGGAAGGACATCTTCATTGAGTGCATCTATTGGTTAGTGAGGGAAACGATTATGGATAGCAGCTATGACTTTTACTCGAATGAAGGACGGATTGTGATGGATGCTTGGCATGGCTATTGTTGCCACTGGTATGACTACAACAACAAATTTTCCTTCCAGATATTGACTTCCATGAGTCAGAGTTTTGTTGATGATTGCATTGAAGACCTTGAGAATCTTGGATTCTTGCAACCACAGCATGCTGTACATTGTGGAACTGTAATGTAAGTAACTGGCTAAATTAGAAATGAATTTGGCGTATCTAAATATTGACTGTTTGTTGCTACCCATACCCACTCAATTTAGATTGGCAAATAGGATCATGAGGTGGTCTTCCTCTCCTATGAGTCAACCACTGGCAGTATTTCTGACAGCAGCCATTCGGTGGAGGTGGCTGGAAAGGAGATGGCAGTACTGGTTGGAATTGCCGGATCTGCATGGCCAGTTGCATCATATGAATCTGTTGTTGTTGAAATTGAAGCAGGTTACTCATGTAATTGTTTGTTGTTTGTGCCACAGCTGCTTGGGTTGGTGGTGGAGGTGGTGGAGTCGGTGGATCGATTGGTGGTGGAGTCGGTGGATCGATTGGTGGTGGAGTCGGTGGATCGATTGGTGGTGGAGGAGGCTGTGGTGGACCGATTGCTGGTGGTTCTGGTGGAGGTGGTGGACCGATTGCTGGTGGACTCGGTGGTGCTCCAGTGCAAGCTGCACAAAGACAACAATCATTGGGTGAATACTTTTGTCTCTGTGGTTTGAATCCAACAATAAACTCTGAAAAGAATCTCTCTCCACTATCTTGTGGCAATGGTTCTGCATTAGGAAATGGTTCATCCACACCCACAGCCACTGCTAAGTCATTGAGATAAGCCAACTCTGAATGGTTCCAGTATGGCACAACCTTTTCCCATCCAGCTGGAATTGACCTCCTTTCTTCTAGACTGATTCTTGACAGGAAGGCTCTCTTGTGTCTAATCTTGAGGTTGTATCTTGCAGTTCCAGCCAGGTTGAGTGCATCAGCAAGAGACCTCCTCATACCACCATTACCAAAGTGGGCAAACTTGTCGTGGAATGCTTCTAACTTGGATTCTCCTCTCTTTGACAGATACTCTGGGAGGCCGTGCTTGGAATTGGGTGATGGAAGGATTGTGTCATACATGTCTTCCAAAGGCAGTGGATCAGCCAAGTGAATGGCTTTGTCGACACAGTTCTCTACTGCTGGCTTGGTGTCTTGAGTAAACAAGGTATAGTTCTTGACTGGATCGAGTCGGCCCTGTCCCGGCTGGCTACCATCACTGGCAGTCACCTTGTATCTGCAGAACCACTGTTGCAACTTCTGTCTAATGGTCTCTGGTTCTCTCATCTTCTTCCTCAGATACTTGGAGTATCGATGTCTGAAGACCTTGGAGGCTTGCATGTCAGAGATCTCAGCCATAGAGTAACACTTGCCATTGGTGGATAGTAGACCATGTTTCAAAGCATGCAGCACCTTCTCATAGTCATGAGGTGAGTATTCATACAAGCAATCCAAAAGGTCCGACATTGCTTGAAAGTGATCGATGTGGCCCTTTCTCAAAGTTGACAGAATCCTTTTCTCATAATGGAACAGACCTAGCCTTCCCTCGATTCCTGGAAAGAGTATCTCCCAGTAGTCATCCTTGTTGGGCCATGTGTCGCTGTACATGGCAGCCGGATTGAAGTGGCTCCTCCTTGCTAGCTGCATGGCTGCATGGGAGAAGTGGATGGTCTTGGTGGTGGGAACCAGAACTGCAGAAGCAATCTCTCCAGTTTCAGTAGCAGCATCCCAAACAGCACCAGCACCAAGACTCTTGCTGTAGTTCTTGACCACCTGAAAGGTGTGATCTTGGCAGAAGATTCCATTGTTGCACTTGACACTTTGAATCTCTCTTGTGTGCCTTTGGTTGTCACTGATCCTCCACGGATTCCTGTTTGAAGCACAAGCAGCATCATAGAAGTCACGGATGGTGTCACCAAGGGGAGGAAACTGTCTTATGTAAGTGCCATCCTTTTGAAGAAAGGGATGTGGTTCTGTTTCACTTCCTTCCCAATAGGAGAAGTAGGACATCATGGCCCTAATGAAGTCTCTGTTGATTGCATTGAACAGGAGCCGGCTGCAGAGTTCTCCATTCCCATAGGTCAACATGATGGATTCGA